CGAAGAAGTATTCTCTGATCGTGCAGACATATCTCGTCCCGGAGATATGTGCCGCAACTCGCAACATTCCACGGGAGAGATGCAAGTCGGTAGGAAAGCTCCGGTCTTTCCGACATCGCTTACAAATGTCCGACAACGATCGTCGAGAAGGAATGATAGAATGCGCGTACGATCGAATTTTCTTTAGACACTGAGAAAGCTTTTCTCCACGGTACTCCGCTTTGACTTGAAAAGCTTCGAGAACGTGCAAACGCCCTAGTAACGTACAAAACATCGAGGATGTCGCTAAAAATTCGAAACATTTTGAGACATCCAGCGTTTCCGTTGACGCTGGTCGTAAAACGCTAGTCGTCGTAATTACCGTAAAAAAAGAACGTCATCAATCTCGTAACTAGTTGTGACACGAGAGAAGTTTCTAATTAAATCTTTGCAGTTAAGCACAAGTACTGCCGTCACGCTTGCCTAATGCGAAAAAGTTGTTTCCCTTTGAAGATTCTGAAATGTTCTCTGCAGGAAATGCGTCTTTAACATGTACCGCTAAATGCAAAGACATCAATTAAGCTACATATATAAATGAATACCTTGAAGAAAAGTTGCTCGTACTCGCAAAGTGCGCGTTTCACATCTCTCGCGCGAGACAGACAGACAGACAGACAGAGAGAGAGAGAGAGAGAGAGAGAGAGCGAAATTTAAAATTTCGCGGGATTATCTCTCTCCACCGGCCGAAAGTCCAATTGACTCCGTCGCTGCGATATCGACATTTTTTGCTGACTATATATTAATCTCTCGTACAACGAGAGATCCGTATCTTTCGTGCAAATTACGACCGGCTAGCGTTAATTTCGCTCGCGCTCCTTCGAACGCTCAAAAATACGCCCGCGCCAGGCGCAATTACTCGCTATTATTTCGACGGTATTTTATGGTTGCGCAATTAAACGCGGAAAACAAAATCTAAAACTCGCTCTTACACGGAGCGATCCCCCCGGGCCACATTAATTCCGCAGCTTTAATGAAAAAAAGGAAGCGCATCAACGCAACGAGGGTGTATCGCGAGCACACACATACACGCGTGCAATATTAACCAGAGCGTTGATGCTCGGTGCACCATAAATCCGGGGTCAACCGTCTACGTCTCAGCCGCTACCCCCGCGATGCTTTCACTGTCTCTTTCGCATAATTCCACCGAAAGTATACGCCCGCCGCCGATGTGGCTCACCCGTCTTTGAAGCGCGCGACAGAACAGCCTTGGCGCGACGCGCGGGGGCAAACCCGCGGAACAGCCCGCCCGCGACATAATTTCAGCGAGGCAACAAACCCTCTCCGCGCCACATCCACCCCCGCGTGCCGACGTCACGGCCGTCTGCCGTGGCGTGCAACCTTCTCTCGTCTTTTCGTCGACTTACTACCCACTGCCACCGTCATCGTGCCCGTCTCCTCGCTCGCATAATCGCGAAAGAGAGAGAGGGAGAGAGGGGGGGAGAGAGAGAGAGAGAGAGAGAGAGAGAGAGAGAGAGAGAGAGAGAGAGAGAGAGGGAGACGCCGTCATTTCTATAGACATTCATTATTCACTGCTCGCTCAACAACGCGCTTCACCCGTACTACCCTTTCGCGTTGCCGCTCATTTCTCCCTTTCTTCGGCGCGAATCTGCATGTACCTGTCTTCCGCGTTCGACGCTTACCGCGCGTTTCTCTATTTCCCGCCAACGGGCCGCCTGTTAAGAATCGGCGACGGCGATAGCCCGCGCGAGTTTTTTCAAACGAATATCGCCCGCCCGCTCGCGCCAGCCAGCGTTGAACTTTGCCGGAGGATTTTCAGATCAACGAGAGAGAGAGAGAGAGAGAGAGAGAGAGAGAGAGAGAGAGAGAGAGAGAGACGCCGGAAGAAAGCGGGCGAGAGGGAGCGCGCCGGGCGCCCGACGAGAGGCGGAATATTTCATGAGAACGACGAGAGGACGACGGCGAAATCCAGCTCGCGGTAATCCATCGGGCCGGTAATGTTTTGCACAATTCATACGACCCGCTAAACGCTTTCTGATGGCTCGATTTAATTACAATACGCTTCGATTTTCGGGGAACGCGCGGGCAGATGTACACTCGCGGAATCGATTAAAATCCCCACCTCCTCTTCTCCCCCTCGGCCGTCGCTCGACTCGTTATGTCATCGCGTTGTTTTCGTGCGATCGGTTTGTTTAAAAAATGTACACACGGCCTCGCGAAAGACTCGGCGCGAGGACTGGAGGGTTTTTCAGATCAGCGTGCTCGTATTTTCCAAGCTTTTTTTGTCCCCCTTCTTTCTCGCTTCGCATCGGCATAAACTGTTAATTCGCGCGCGACGAATGGTTCGCTGCGACGCGGTTAATTAACATGACACAGGGAGAGAGAGAGAGAGAGAGAGAGAGAGAGAGAAAGGCTTACAAATAAGTTGCACGGATGACCGCTCGGTTCGGCACGACGAGCAACGCGCGACGCTTCCTCAACTCGAACCGACCGTGTTAACGTCGGCAGCATTGATTTTCGATTCGCCGAAGATAATATACGGTAATGGAGTGTAAGCTGTCGTATCGAGATCTAGCGGCGTTATTGAATTAAAAATATCGAGTATTTATACGTAACTCTGAAGCGTTTCAAATACAGACGCGTGTTGGTACAATCGATTGATTAACCGCTATTACTATGTTACATACACGCGTTTCGTGCGCTCTCTTTCTCCCCTCTCTCCCTCTCTCTCTCTCTCTCTCTCTCTCTCTCTCTCTCTCTCTCTCTCTATCTCTCGACTTGTCATATATATTCCGCTGCAACGTAGCGGCCATGTCGAGTATGCATCAAATATCATGTCCGTCGAAAACAAGCGCTCGCGAAAAATCGTATTTGCATTTAGAATATTACTGATAATACGAGCTCCGACAATATTTACGCGCCTCGCACGTCATAATACGCGCGTCGCGTGTTTTTCCGACTTCCAGCAGCGCGATCGCAAAGTTCCGACTGACGACACGGCGCTAAGCAACTGTGCAAATGCCATTTTTCGCTGCTTAATCGAGCGTCGAAATATAAATAAACATAAAGGTACATAAAAAAGTTCAACATTCAACGATGTTATTGATAACCAGAAAAAAAAACATTTTGTAAGCTTGCAATATTTATCAAGGCGGAACTGCGCCAACTAGTATTTATGCCATCAGTATATTTTTTTCGAATATCGTTTCGGCCGCTTGTAAAAACGTTTTACGTTTTTTTCCATAAAACTCGCGATCGTTAACCGAGAGGAAAACTTCCGCGCGTGAGTCCGAGATCGCTGTGACATGTTAAAGTTTGGCTCCCTCAATGAAAAACTTTCCCAATCGCTCGTCCTGTGTCTCCTCTTTACGCGCGCTCTCTTTTGGCTTCTTATTTCCCCATATCGTGCCGTTTCCAAATCGTAAAAGAGGATCGATAGAAATCAAGCTCGCCGAAGCTATGATCGCTCTACGCGACCGTAGGTGATTCGTATTATATATCCGCGTCTTTGTCAAATAATGACAAAACAATTTTCTTTAGTCTTCTCTTTAAAGCAGAAGGAAAGAATCTACCTCAGCTTCCTAGTTTCAGTTGTTCAGTTGTTCCACTCCGTACTCTTTTCGATCAATCCTTTGACAAATGTAATACATTAAACGTAAAAGGGAATGTTATATTTCATTCCTGGGAAACGAATTTTGCAAATATTCGAGAAACGTAATACTACGTAGTAATTCAAATGAATACAGAATTACTCTCCATCATGAACGAAGTGACATGTTTCGTACACAAAAATGTACGAGTCAAAAATACGTGGACATACGAGACCGGCCGAAGGCGACCCCATTAAATGATGATGAAAGGAAAAGAGGAAAAGAAATTTGAAACATTTCGCTATTAGAATAAATAATACTTTATATGTTTATTACAGCGTCGCGTCTGCAGCGTAAAAGTGCAACAGCGACGCAGCAATCGCATTAATCAAGTTTCTCCGCATAAAAAAAGACGATTTAATACTCGTTGCGCTTTATATCTCGCATATATACGCCACACGTACGCGAAATATCAGCGAATAGAAGCATTGGAGATTGGAAAACTCTTTGAAACAAGCGATTACGAAAAATTATATTCGCGTTTGTTTTTGAAACGTGGGCGACGACAACAACGAAATGCTGCATATTGAAAAAGATAATTGCAGCCGTACTTCGTTTTACGGTACGCGCTTTCATATCTGTACAACAATATCGATACACGCGGAACATAAACAACGTATGAAATAGGAAACTTCTTTGGGCTACTATATCATCCGGCATTGGGAGAATTTCGCTGTGTACCGCCGAGTCTCGCTAATGTTTCCTACCAGGATGCAACTGCATTACGTGATCTCGGGCGGAAAAATGATTATCTCGAGTATATCGAAGCGAATAAATGCGCGCGCGCGCGCGCGAACACGATATCGGTAATTAAACCGGGCGCCGACATTCCGATGAAAATAACGTGGTGCAGCTCGATCACGATGTCACGTTATGTTTCGAGGCTATTTATTTTGTCACGTTTTTCTATCGAGCGTAATCGATGTGACGTCGCGCGCCGCGGAAGGGGGTGGCGACGGAGGAAGAGGAGCAGGAGAACGAGGAGGAACCGATATTATTGCTGGAGTATGCGCTGCACCGGTATTTAGAATACATAGGCGAACGGTATGTTTGCGTACGGCGGCTATGTACACCCGAGTTCAGTAACCCTTCTGCCGACGGCAGACGTGCTCGACGAGGCTGAGCCCGGCTAGGCACTCGACTCGACGCGTTTCTCTCTCTCCCTCTCCCTCTCTCCCTCTCTCTCTCTGTCCGTCGCGAAAAGCCTGTACCACCTCGACTGAGAGAGCTCGGTACCAGTAGCATAGCGTCGAGGACGACGGCTATCGGCTCACGACGCGACAATCGGTCGGTGTGTAAACGGAACATTAACGGCAAGGTAGACAAGTAGACAGACGCGAGAGCAACACTCACCAATGGAAATCTTGTCCGGGTACGCCGCAGGCACCAGGACCAAGAGGACGGTTAAGGCCATGGTCATCATCTTGGCAGTGGATGTTGATCCGCCGATCTTACCGGCACCGGTATCTCTCGCGTCGCCGGTTACCCCGGGGACGTACGAAGCCGCGGTACCGAGCGGGAACGTCGCGCGACGCCGCCGTCGCGACGAGGGTGGTCCACCCGTCACGTGAACAACCGGGAGCATCTTCCGAGCTCCGTGGTCTGACACAAACTGCCGTACTCCACTCGGCGTGAACTCGGTTTCGCCTGAACCGCCCCAGCATCCCTCTCTCGTCCGCTCACCCTCAGCTCTCTCCACCGCCCCTCCCCGTCCGCTCGAGCTCTCTTTCTCTCTCGCGCGCGTCTCGAGCTCTCTGTCCCGCTCCCTCTGCCTCTCTCTCTCTCTCTCTCTCTCACCCCCTTCGTGGACCCCTTAACCAGCAGCCACCCCCTCCCCGTCGCTGCCGCGCTCCTCGCCCTCCTCCGACGCGTTGCAGCGTTCTCGCTCTCGATCCACCCTCCGGACCCGCCGTCGCGACTTCCGCCACCACCGACGCGGGTATCCTCCGTCCTCTCTCTCTCTCTCTCTCTCTCTTTCTCTCTCTCTCTCGCTCTCTCCCTCCCCCTCTCGCCACCCTCTCTTCCACCCTCGCATGTTCCATCCCCCCTCCCTCTGTCGCGCCCTCGTGCTTCACCACGGTAGTTCAGGGTGGAAGCGTACGTTTAACGCGCATGTTACGATAGTCGCGGCGCGCGCGTTCGTCTCGGAAATATTCCACGCACCTGCTGACTCGCGCGCGCGACGCGCACGCTACCGATACCGCCGCCGCCGCCGCCGCCACCGCCGCCGCCGCCGCCACCGCCGCCACCGCCGCCACCGCCGCCGCCGCCGTCGCCGCCGACACCGGTGCGCGTCGACTCTCTCGTTGTAGCTGTCGATGGATCGGAATTAAACCGACGCGCGAGTATATTTCTGCTGCCGCGGCTTCGTTAGCCGCGTCCCGTCGCGTCGCTCGTGCGAAAGCGCCCTTATCGAGGGATGACGCGGGGATATTACCTGTGTGGTCGACGTAGAAATAAATAAAAGAGAAATCCGTCGTGCGAGAGGAAAAGGCGCGCACGCGAAGATAACGGGCGAAATCGTCGAGTACGGCTCTTTCCAACTGTCATCCTATACACGGAATTCTTAATACGCGACTCTAAGTAGACTCGCTAGAGTGCATCTCTCTCGTTCGGACAACTCACGTTTATTTATTCAGAGTGTTTGTGTAAACAAATTAATCTTCCGCTTGAAGCAAGCGCTCCCGGAGATCCCGAGAATACGCGCATTTTCTTTCGTACCTGCGATTATCGTCATTCGCAATTCTTTCAATACTGAAAGAATCGGAAAGCTACAAACGTAAACTGTCGTACATGTTGGCATTGTCATCAAAGAGTGAATAAAGTGCATGCGCGAAATGCGAGAGCATATGAACGAAGGATTGATCATATTTTTTATTTACTCGAATAAGTGCGCTTTGCGTGAATTTCACGTTAGATTTCCCGTGTGACGTAAGTTCTCTCGAGCTGAAATTATTTCTCGAATTTAAAATCGGATTTAAAGAAGAAAAAGAAAGTCGCTTTTTTAAATGCCTGTTTGCATTCGCAGTTTCATTTGCATCGATGAATTTTTTATAACATGAAACGTAAGAGGATCAATGTTCGTGGACTTGATCGGATCCACAATTCGACAAATGTTTCGCATCTTTTCGGCTCTGTTCTGCAGAGAAAGGAGATGAATTTAATGTATGGCGCGTAATGATGAGCCGTTTAAACAAACGTAATTTCAATAAATTAATAATCCCTGAACTGTAACGCAGGGCGTTCGTGAGCCATTACAATCTATTACAATTCGCACCTTCGTGTTGCACGTCTAACGCGCATCGCAGACGAGACGTAAAGTACACTGTGGTATCTTAAGCTTCTTACATATCTTAAAGCGACTCTTACGACTTTTATACGACAGTATTGCCGAGAAATGACACAATGTCGCTTTAGTACTGATGGAAAGACTATCCGATATTACATGCACGCGTAGCATTCTCTTTGCCAGGAAATTCATAAGAATAAGGTATAACTTACCGGAAAGCGCGCAGCGTCGCAAACAGTCCCGTCTAATATATGCGCGACGCGTCTTCGCTCGTTGCTCGGATAACTTTCTTCGTCGAGGTTTTAAGCGGTCGGACGGTCAACTTTATACGTCCGCGTTGGCGAATTATGGAAATCCTTCCTGAAAAAGTTCAAAGTGCAGTGAGACCGGCCACGCTAACGTGTCAAAAGGTGCAAGTCGTTGGCGGAGTACGTCAAAAGTTTTGACGAGACGCATTAACGTTTGTCCCGACGCTATCGTGTTATCATTCTCGCGCGCATTTATACGTCTGATAACGTTGAAGTAATGCCGGAAATGACGCTAATAAACGTTCAACGAAAACATTTAATGACGAAAAATTTCGGATCGGTGGGTTGATATAATTTATTAAAAATAATATCAAAATTTATTTGAGAATAATGTCAAAATAAGAAACGAATAACTATCACAATAGAATATGATAACAAAGATATACCTTTCGCTGTATTCCGAGTAGCGACGTGCTCAGCAATTCAACACCACACAAGCGGATGATTGAACGGGGGGGGGGGAACTGAATCGCCATTGATAGCGAATATATTCTTCCTGCAAAATTTTCAGCGTAAATTAAAAGAGGTCGGAGCGTGGTGGAAAAGTTTTGTGTTGAGGGAACAGGGCAGAAGCTGTAATAATTCTTTTTTTAACGTAAGTCACAAAGAGGCACAACGGAAAATATTACATTTCGATGCTTTCGCGTGACGGGATTATCATTACGTCATAGTCGGAACGGATTATAATACGTATATTATTTCTTTCATGTTTATTTGAAATAAAATTGAAATTTCTGAAATTTTAATGCTCTGTGCAACCCATTTTTACGTGCTGCCCATTTCCAAGCATTTTTACATTGCATCGCAAGAGAGAAATGCCCCGATACATAATTAGCCCATTATTTCATCTCACAAAAAGAAAAAAAAACAAACAGACAACATCTCGGCACAATACAATGGCGAGCTTCAATAAAGGCCGAAATGGCTTCATTACGCAACTACCATCTCTCGGACACTGCTGCGTTATCGTAAACGTTGCGCCGTTACGCGACGGTAATGAGAAACGTACCTCATTATGACAAACCGATGTCAATGTATCTTTGCGACGTAGCGTTTGTCGCGACTTGATTTACTCGCGGCGGCGCGGCGGCGGCGATTTGCCGCTCGCAGCTGGTGGCAATAAATTCGCGGATCCGTGTCTAAGCCGGAGGTTCGCGCGCCCTTCGACGCAAGAGTCGTAACGCCAAGTGCGGAATAAAAGCAAGCCGCGCGTGCTGCATCGCTCGCAAAACGCTCGCGTCGCGCCGGGCTCTCGGAAACACGTCCGAGAACTACGGCCCCTAGACTGCGGCGTGTAAAGCGTATATCCCGCGAGCGAGCGAGCGAGCGATCGTAAAACGTCGATACGCGCCGCCCTCGACGCCATTGTCGAACAATGACGAACCTGCAAGGGCGGCCGGCTTCGAATCTCCCGCGCGCCAGCGTCGATAAATTCGCGCGGGGAAAGCGCGGCCGACACGTCGCGGGGCGAGTTCGCGCGTGCTTTACGAGCTTCCGACGACCTGGCGCTCGTAAAGACTAACGTCGTCGCGATCAAAATTAACGAGGAAGCGATCCTAAAGCGATCTCGCGGTAAAGCGTACCCTAAACTCGAACACCAATAATACGACAGATGAGAAGTCGCTACGGCCAATGAGAGTTCGCCTTACCGCTGAGAAGTCTCCCGGCGGGATCCGACGTTCGTCGAGCGGAGGGAAACGGACGAAGAAGGATCTCGCTGAGACGAGATCTTGTTCGAGATCCTTTCTCTGCTTCCGCTTCGGATCTAACCGTCGTCGTCGGAATCGAACATGGCGCTCGGTATGCTAACCGCAGGAACGCGGTACGCGATTGCTAACGTACGACGTTATCGCGCGGTAATGACTATGAAGTATGACTCTTACAAAGTATGATCGAGAATATGCACTTACGCAGACGCACGCATGTTTGGTGGACACGATAGTCACGATGAGATGCGCTCAGTTGTTTCGCTCGTTTTCATCGCGCTAAGCCGGATCGGCGGTTCAACATTTTGGAAGTGATGCGCAAAGGAGACGAGCCGTTAGTGCACGAAATCGTTACCGTGGCGCTACCTGCAAATAGTGCAGAGATAGAGAGATAAAGCGAGAAAAGGATAGGTAGAGAGAGAGAGAGAGAGAAAGAGAGAGAGAAAATGTGACCTGTGGATGTTTTAAGGATAAAAGTAACGTGCAAAATACCTACCCAAATAGCACGAGTGTCTAAACAATGTTTTGAAGCGTATAAAAATCTTCATTTCCAGAGAAGCCGGAGGTTCTGGCTGCGTCCAATCAAATTCGTTGAAAAAATTCCACTAACGGGCTGCCTAGCGCCACGTAACGGTCAGAGGAGAAGATACGATATGATTGAAATGTCGGTTAAATATGGTTTGAATCTTGTCTAAAAGACCCGTTACAATCAATTTTAACCTGTTATAACGTGAAGTTCCTCCTGCACAGGTTAAAAGAGTCTTTTGTTCGTCTCCGTGAAGGTTGGATGTGGTTCTTGCAATTACGCATATATTTTGATCGTGGGGACTGCGTACGCGTTGTCCCTGTTTTTCATTTACCTTTATACTACTGGAAAATGGCGTATGGACAAAGCTGAATGCAGTCCGGAGCCAGTAAAGGATTACTACTACTACTTCTGTACAGGTTATGATTCAACCACCACAAGAAATTGTTATGAAAAGTAGCAGGATACGAGAAATTAAAATATAAGCAATTGTAGCACAGATATCGTTAAACTTTGCGTCAAAATGGATCCAGCTTTGCTAAGAGAGCGAGAACTATTCAAGAAACGTGCCTTAACCACACCAACGTGAGTATCGTTGTGTTGCTATCGTTTTTAGCGAAATTAAAGAAAGTTTATAAAATTTCTCAAAAACATATGTTTTTTTAATATCATGCATAATTGTAAGATATATATATATATATATATATATATATATATGTGAGGAAAATGGTCAATATATATGTAATTTTGTCAAATGTAATTAAAATGAAGGAAAAGTCCTTGTGATGGAAAAATGTATGAAGCTTGTTTAATTTTCCATATTGCTATATACATATGCCTTAATGATTACAGAGTTGAGAAAAAGAAGAAGGAACAAGAAATTTTGAGAGATGATTCATCTAAGAAGAAACCTAAACCATCGTCCATATCTACAGGACCAAAACTGGACATGGTTAACTATAAGACCATGGCCGGCAGTACACAATACAAGTTTGGTGTATTAGCAAAGATAGTAAAACATATGAAAGCCAGGCACCAGGATGGAGATGATCATCCCTTAACTCTAGAAGAGATTTTAGATGAAACAAACCAGTTAGATGTTGGATTAAAGGTAAACATCTATTGCCTAATCTATCATCTATAATCTTTTATCGATCAAGACAGATCATCAATTTTTTTTTTTATGTATTTAGGTTAAACAATGGCTTCAGACAGAAGCTTTGGTAAAAAATCCCAAAATTGACGTAACTACCGATAGCAGATTTGTTTTTAAGGCTATGTATAAAATAAAGGATAAGAAATCTTTACTCAGACTTTTAAAACAACATGATTTGAAAGGTCTCGGAGGTATTTTGCTGGAAGATATACAAGAAAGTCTACCGCACTGTGAGAAACATTTAAAAGTAAGTGAAACATCTCTAGAATTTTAATCTCGACGTTGGTTCACAAGTGAAAAGAGACTGATATTGTTTACATATTTTAGGCCTTACAAAATGAGATATTATTTATTACACGGCCACTTGATAAGAAAAAGATAGTATTTTACAACGACAAAACAGCACAATTCCCTATAGATGAAGAGTTTCAAAAGTTATGGAGGGCTGTGGCGGTAGATGCTATGGATGATCAAAAAATAGATGAATATCTTGAGAAACAAGGAATCAGGTCTATGCAAGATCATGGGCTGAAGAAACCAGCACCGCTCAAACGCAAGAAACCTGTTAATAGGCGGAAACAATTCAAGAAACCGAGAGACAATGAACATTTAGCAGATGTTTTAGAAACATATGATAATTAAGTAAGATATTAAAGTATATAAGTATAGTAATAAGCAATTTTATATATGTGTATGTATAAAATAGAGAATGTATATAAATATGATGGTTTTATAAATATAATGCATTTTGTACTATATCGTGGAATAATTAGCATTATTCGCCTTTTCATCATTTAATAAATAAGTGGAATTGATTGCCATAATTTATTGTCACGATATCTCGTTGTAAGTACAAAATAAATATAGAATAATTATATTATGTTATAACACTTACACGTAAACTATTCGTATATAAGTCACGCTCACAGTCGGCCTTTTGGATTCAAAAGATTGCACAACGCTTGTCTCATGTGGTAATGTGATAAAAATGTGGACAAGTTAGAATCAGAGCTGGCAGAGTTTACACGATACATTCTTCCTGAACCCTTGTTTAATACACCTCGGAAAGCTAGCTTTAGTTGCGATTTAGAGATAGTCGTATTGTGAGAAGGTTATACTAAAAAAATTTGTACACTCTACACTTATAATCGATACAAAATGTCGTTACTGTATAAATACAAATTTGTATTTTCTTTGGTATTTGTAGCTTTCGTTCGTTAATCAGACAGACGTATGAATTGTGCGAATCGTACGAATTATATGAATTATATGAATTATATGAATTACCCGAGTAGCCCTGATATCATTTTTTCTCGAAGATGCGGTATATACATCGTTCAATTACATCAATTAAACGTGCGTTTCTCTCTTTACGTTTACGATATATCGAAACACTTGCAAGACAGACGGTGACACTTCTACTCCTTCGGCAGAGCAGAGTCGCTTTTCCCTCGCGAGTAAGCACGCGTCTTATTGCTGCCGAGCATTCTGTCCAATAAAGATTGCTTGTTTCTTCTACGCGCCGCGAGAACTTCTCTGCATAATTCGTGGAAGGATTCCGCGACCTGAGCAACCTGCAACAATCGTGGGCATTTGGAGACACGCAGAGCGCACAGAGCGCGCGCGCGCAAATAATCGCGCGGGATCTCAGTTACCTGCTCGGCAGCGGTGATTTCGCTAAACCAACATTCAAAGTCCTTCGCCAAGATCTCTCCTTCTTCGGCACTGACTTGCCGCAGGTGAACCATATCGGCCTTGTTTCCGACAAGAGCGAGAGGCATCGCGGCTTCGGGATCGGCTACCGCGAGGGCTTCCTTCGCCTTCCTCACGAAATTGAAGGATCCTCTGTCTGTGATCGAATAAACCAGCAGCAAGCCGTCCGCCCATTGCAGTGTCTCCATCGATGGCAGCTCATCCTCGCTCTGAAAATCGTTCGAAGGACGCGTTACGTTACGTGCGTGCAAGGATACATCAACTTGTGACACACGCGAGATTTTTCTTGTAAAGTTTCACCTTTGGACATGTATCTAAAATCTCGAAGAGAATAGGTTCCCCGTCGACTAGTACTTCATGTTTGTATCTAGTTTCTGGAAGACAAAATCAGATTTACGTCATTAGCGTGGACACAGCGACTATCGTTGAAATCGGAAATATTTAATCGGACATTTGACGCGCTTTCACACGACACGGAGAACAGCTCGGTTTGGTTTTCCTCGTTGAAAGCAAATCCGCGCGAAGGACGCAGCGCACCCACTCGAAAGACAAAGTGAGAGACGTGTATGAAGTTTTATGTGAAGGTACGGCGAGAAGTTCGATCAAGACTCTCCAGTGTTCCGTTTCTCGCAGCAACTCGCGCTTCAGAAATGCGCGCGTTTTATTTAAACAGTTCTTCCAGAGAAGAGCTTGAAGCGAGGTGTACCAAATCCGCGTGTATCATTAAGCAGGCTTTCGGAACGGATTTAGTTTAGAGCTCAGAAGCGGCACGTGCTGCTGCTGCTGCTGCTGCTGCTTCTTCTTCTTCTGTCTACGACCGCGTCTGTATTTGTACAAAACGAAGAGTATCGAGTTCGAGTATCAACCTCGCATTAGTAGTACCCGTCCTGTCTAGTGTCAAATTCGTCTTCGATAAATTTAGACCAGACGCGGACTGAGAGGTATGCGCAGGGAGAATATACGCGGCCTTAGAAGCGGATTACAGTTGCTGGCAGTTTTTCAGACCGGCGCGTCATTCCGCCGTACATTTTATCGCACGCGCGCGCGCGCGCGCGCGCAACGTTCCGTAAGTCACGCGTATCGATAAATCGTCGTTATGTGCTGCGACGGTCGATTGAAACATTTCGCCGCTGCACCTGTCACCGTGAATTCAGCAGAATCCCGAGTTCTCCTCGCGCTCGGCGAAGAAGGGGGGGAATTTTTGGCGAGGAAGGAGAAACGCTCCTCTCCGACAGAGAAAGACGAGAGAAGACACGTTCGCTTCCTCCTTCGGAGGACGATGAAAAAGTTTGCTCTCGAGAAGCTCGCGGAACGACGCGCCGCGCGAGATGCGTATAGGAACTGTGAAAGGAGGTGGCACTTGAGGAGGAGGAGGAGGAGGAGGAGGAGGAAAGTGTTCCCGGCGCCGTGGAAAGTATCAGATTCGGAATGACGGACGCGAAGTTTCGAAACTTTTCGATCAGCCTCGCGTCGCATCGGGACGCTTTCTCACCTGATTGGTGATCGTACTCCCCGATGTATCTCCTTGTAAGGAATCTCACCGTCAGTGCTGAAACATAAGGACATTTCTCACGTGTAATTCGCTACTGACGCACGAGGCAATTACGTTAAACGCGATATATGTAATTGAATTGGCAAACGGCGATCGCTACTCTACAAGCCGGCCGCGCGCGCGCGCGTCTCGCGCAATATCGCGCTGTTCCACATTTCGTCTGTTTGTTACAGTTCCGTCCACTTATGCCAGAGGAAACCGCGACACGAAAATACTGTCTTTCGGCTGCGATTATTGCGCAACCGACCGCAAGCAGTACTTGACGGCCACCTCGTGGGAGAAACCCGAGGAAACAGCAATTAATAATAACAACAACAACAACGATCGACCTCTGCAGTTCATATCTATCATCGCATCGTCACATTTTTTATCTCTCACACATGTTACTAAATATCATTGGTATACGAAGTGGCATACGAATTGGCGGATGAAAGGAAAATTTTCTTTTGTCCTTTCTTTTCTTCTCTTTCTCTCTTTCTTCCCCCTTTCTATTATTAGTATGAGAATCTTCGTGTTCGTTAAATTATCATCTTAATTGTTGTACACCAGAGGGTTCAGGCCTCTGTATATTATTAAAAAATAATAAATAATGAATAATGATACGACGAGTGGAGGAATTTCGGACCTCAGAAATTGAAGTCTGAAACGAGACTTTCGCTTTCCTGCTTAATCTCTTTTCGTGCAGCGCGACATCGGGACAGTGTCCATCCTGATAATCCCGATGTCTCGCGCGAGAGCGCAAGTGACGAGGAGAGATTGATCTCGCGCCGATACGCGGCCGATATGATACCGTGGCTGGACGTATTGCGATCCGATCGGGAGAAACGAGAGCTACAACCTAGTGACCCGCTTCGAGGTGTACCACACTATTTTTACCGCGAACTCGAACCTGCCGCGGCGCCACAAAACCTTGCACGAACTGCGCGCGTTAACGCCGCCGCGGCTTATTTCATCCCGAAACGCATTCTTGGCCGCGCTTTCTTCGCCGAGGTGCGAATTACGGCCGTTTGTACCGATACGCCGCTGGTACTCCAGCGGGGTTTTCTTTTTTTTTTCATTTTCCCGCGTTTCATCGCGAAAAATCAATATTCCGCAAAATTTTACATTGCAACGGAGGTGAACCGTCCGCAATAAATTCGGCTCGTGGCAGCTCTGGACGGTTCGTCGGCGAAAAAAGAAGAGAGAGAGGAAGGATAACTTTCGAGTTGCTTCGTTACAAACTCAATGCGACGCGATAAATTTAGACCAGATACGATTTTGTAAAAAACGATAGACGAATATCTCTCTCTCTCTCTCTCTCTCTCTCTCTCTCTTCCTTTTCTTTCTTGTGTGCACGTATAAAGATTATGTGGATGCACAGACGCGTCAGAGAGCGCGCTGTATAATCTAAAATATATATCGTCTATAACACAAGTCAGTTTTGATCGACAGCGACGCGTGTAAATTTCGCAGCCAGAAAATTTATTAGCGATCGGTTTATTTGCGTGGAAATTTGCGGAGCAGGATCACTCGGACGCCACTGCACGCTTCCTCTCGATTTAATCTCAATGTCAGCGAAAGAGTTTACGCTTCCTCTCGGAATTTCTTCGCGCATTTCTTCCGCGAAAGGTCTCGTTGCAACGTGCCGCGAGCACTCTGCCAGAGCGTGAAGCAACAATGCTCGCTGTGCAACAACAACGGCACTCATTATCCCCCCGACTGTCTCAACGAAGCACAATGATCCGAAGGACAGTTGAAAGATCCTTAAGAGAAAGAGATTTCTCTCGATGAGACCGGGGACAGTGTCCTCGGGGACGGTCTTTTAAACGTTTCTCACTGAGCAGATTTCGTTCGGTGTGAAATTCGCCATCTCCACTTTGTCTTTGTCTGGCTCTGAGAACGCACGAGAGAGATGTAAGAAGGGAGAAGCAGCGTTGTGATACGTTTCGTCCGCTGTACGCGGCGGAAAAATCATTTCCCCGGCATGCGATTATGACCGCGAAGAGACATTGCGGCGAGCATGACGAATCGGTGATCCGATGACGGGCGAGAGACGCATTTTGAGGTAAAACTTTATAAATAGCAGCCACGCGCTTCGCGCGACCGATGAAAGAGACGTGCACAGGCCTCCGCCGGCGACGCGCAGCAATTATTTACTCACCTATGCCTTTACACACTTGCTATTACCGAAAATACACGCGGTTGGCCACACTCGGGGCTCCTCGCCGCATATCTCAAATATGCATCTCCATCGGACGGACCTTCAACGGCCGCTCGCGCACTTGCACTTGAATTCAGAGAGCGTGTTGACATTTAGCGCGCGAGCTACTACTTTTTTTCCTCGATGGATACACACGCACATCACCCGCTTCTTTTCCGCTCGAGCTGTACGAGCGAGCAGAGTGCGACAGAAACGAATTCGCTCCTAATTGCGCACCAAGGTCTTCCGACTCGCGTCTGTCGGATTCGCGAACGTCCGAGATTGCGGCCTTTGCAATTATCGCGACCGCCTGGTATTTTCCGCCCCACCCACTGTTAAGTTTGCATTAACGCGACTGAGCGTAGCGGCATACGCGAGGACGTTCGAGGCTGCTTGTCAAAATATTTTGTTTGGCAAAATATCTCGAAGTATTTTTCTAACCGCTGCTGCTGATTTTCGCGAGTCCTCTCGTGAAAGTTATCTCTCGTATAAGATTATCAAAATATATTTTTCTGTTCCAATTCAATTCTAATTCGTACGACAGGAGATGTCGCGAAATTCCTGCCGTTACTTTGCCGATATAATTACGGCGGCTTGTCGCCGCCGTAATTATATTTTATATTTTTATTTTATATTATTATCTTTTTTTTATAATGTGTATTTATCTCGTTAATTAAACGTTAATTCCGCGTGTCCACATTTTGTCTCGTCGAGGCAGATTGATATAATACTACACGGTTAAAAACATTTCGTACTTTCGTTAAAATTATTTGTGTGCAGAAAGTTTTGTGTTAAATTTTTTACACAGTCGTATGTTGATTTAACATATCGTTGTTGTGTTACCTAGACCTACCTACCTTTCTTGCGTTAAATTAAGATTATCTATTTTTCAAGTGTTAAAATGACATCTTCAAGTATTAAAATGACACAACTTATATGTAAATGCATGAATTATTGCTATGACATATTTTATAATTGTTGAAGTCAACACCTAAAATGTGTCAGTTTCCTCGTTATAACAGTTATCATGTACAGTTAAATGTACAATGTTAACATTTCTTTCTATGTGAAGATTGGATTTTTAACACATGGATTATGTCAATCTAACATCTTCATTTTATTAAATCATAGATCATTACTTTTCCGAAATGTTGAGGTAAAATTCATTGTGTGTCAATTTAACACAAACCGTGATTCTTGACGGCATTCAAATGTTACATTCTTGTGTTAATTTTTTACATATTATGTGTGTTATTTTTTAACATATTTGCTGTATGTTGAATTAACACATAAATGAGAGTGGATGATTGGAGACACATGAGATATGTTAAATTTAACACATCGTTTCTTCTACAGTGTAGAAAAGCGCAGCTTTCTTTGCAAAAGTTTCGCCTCATCGAAACAGATTCACTCACCGCTTTTGCCGACTCCCGGCGCTCCTATCACAGCCACCTTGACTTCGCACAGCGAACTCTTCTTCCGTCTGATGCCTCTAATTGCATTTGACGTCATACTACGAGCATTTGTCACTGCAAGAGAGAAAGATTAGACAGTGTCACACGCTGTCATACGGAGACGTCTCTGGCCGTCGGAAGAGAGTTTCCAAACGTACGGATTAAATCCCATCCTACCGTGTCGGAAGAAAGTCCTCTCAAACTTTGCGCGCGTCAAAACATCTATCAATTACGTATCTCTCGACATGTCGAGTATTACGGTCAACATTATCCGTAATCAGTAATTCAGCCAGTTGCGCTTGCAAGTAATCACCGAACATGGCTATTTTCGCTAACATTGCAAGTTTCGAAAAAAATTCCACGCTCATACCGGGAGAAAAAGAATATAAGAATTTATTCGCCCGTTCTTATCGTTAATCTCCATCGCGATCGTCAAGCGGCGACTCGTTGGTCGGTGTCTCGGATAATCGGACCGCTCGTTCCATCTCCTCTCTCCCTCTCGATGTTAATAAAGAGAAAGAAAAAAGAGCAAAGATTTTTTAGGCACTTAGCGGCATCCGCCGCGTGCTTCTCTTCTCTGGGCGTGTGTGTTTGAATAAGTCGCGCTACACTTCGGAAGAGGAAGGGAGCGGCGCGAGAGCGCCCGTCTAGAAACGCAGAAAGCGAGAAGGAGAGACAACGAGGAGCGGATAGGAAGAGACGGCAACACGTGACGGGTACATTAATAGAACGGTTTGCACACACATGTCCCGCGGAATCTCGGGAATTTCTTCCACTGCCTAACAATGTGCCGGGGTTACGGATACGATATGGGATACGATAGAGCGCGGTTTGTTACGAAATTCCCTTAGGCGATCTCGCGCGCCTAAACGCCCGACGACGCGCTTTCCGCTCGATCTCGTTAAGTGCCAGCGCGAATGCGTCGCGCGAGACGTGTTGTTAATTTACTATCCGCTGGTAATTGGTAAATTCTCGTCTCGGCTGCGGCGTGCCGAGACAGAGAGACAGAGAGACAGAGAGACAGAGAGACAGAGAGAAAGAGAGAGAGAGAGAGAGAGAGAGAGAGAGAGAGAGGAGAGAGAGAGAGAGAGAGAGAGAGCGCGAGGAAGGAAGTCACGGGTTAATCCTTAAATCGCCAAAGCGTAGCTAAAGTCCGCAACGATGTGGTTAACGACACACTTTCGCAAATGAATGCACGTTAACGGGGTCTTGGGGCATTTCACCGCATAACAAAGTAGCCGCGATCGTACATAGCGGATACAAAAAGCGCCGCTATAATGACGTAGAGATATGCAAATGAGCGTGCGTCTAATGTCAGCCGAGGGTATTTAAATTGCGATATATCTCTCCCGCGCCGGGAGATACTTTCTCGCCGCGATCGTCATGCGACTGCAAGAGATCGCCTCCTCTTGCTGTGTTTTATCTTGCGATTTCGCAGCGCATCGCGGGGATAATCGTACGGAGAATTGAGAAACGGAAGCGTCACGAGTGTGGCGCACTAAGGATCTTTCTCGTTGCATCTGGCAAGACTCCGGTGTTTTTCGGCGATTTTTATGTCGCGCGCGCGAAAGTCGCTCGAAATGTTACCGATCGTCAGTCGATCGTCATCGATGAAGCGACATGTAACGCAACGTGTGCAAACAAATGATGTCGAAGGGACGCGCATGTGGCAGCACACGCGCTCTCTTTCTACCGCGTACCGATTATTAATCGCGCTGCTCTGCTGCTGTCTATAATTCTGAATTGTGATGGTGGCTAATTAATTGTAATTAATTATTAATTACCTCGAATTATCAATGATGAATATAATAGCGCGTGAAGCAGTTGGCATGCGTAAAATACTCCAGCTGGAACTCACCGGTCAATTGAGATGGACTCCGCTGCTGCTGTCCTATCGCTCGATTATTGTCTCTCACCGTCGCCCTGCGCAGGATCTCGCCGTCGTCGGTGCGCGTGTCGCGATCGAGCTGCTCGCCGAGTGTCGACGGGAATGCATCACTCTAACGCGTGCGGCTCGCGTGATTAGCCATTGGCGATTAATAATTTCACGACGAGGGGATCAAAGGGTGGACTTGCGACGCGAACTTGCTCGCAGCGACGGTGCGAGCGTGAGCAACAGCACCTGTTTGCCGCTTGACGCGACCGAATCATGGATTGAAATCGGCCGACGGAGGAGCGATCGCGCGCGTCGCGTCACGTGGACGGGCGAGGTTCTCGTTTGAATTCCGCAGCGCGAACCGCCGCGGCGCTTGGTCCCGGCGCGACTGTCTCGTTTCGTTCTCTTGCGGCGGCTCCGGCGAGGCCGGGTTTCTTTATTACACTGTTGAGCAGCGTACACACGCGGTATTTACCCGCTTCCGGTACAGATGCGCGCGCAGACGAAGGCAGCCGAGGCGTCAAGAGCCTCGGCTAAAAAGCTGATTTTAGCCGAGACTCGAATCACGATTTACCGGCCTCCGTAAAATTCGTCGGAGGCTAAGCCAGGTTTTTCCTTCTTTTTTTTTTAGTTTTTGCGAGCTTTTAGCATTCGATTGCACTCGTTGAATTAAATAAGATGGCACCAGCCTCGAATCCTTCTCTCCGCCGGAAGTGCCTGAGAATGAATAATTGCTCTTTTTGGCTTTTTTCGCAGCGATGTTTCTATTTTCGGCTCTTTGCCGATTATTTTACGATCGGCGGATTTCTCCACGAGTTCATTTCGCAAAATGATCGCGTCGGTAAGAGCAGTCGTAGCTACGCCTGGTAGATGCTGTTTTGCAGTCGCCGACTGTTCAACAGCGCGACGTTATAATTATGCTCGTTACTACTGCGGAACGAAGCCTGGGCAACTCCGCGTAGAACGGTACGAACGTTCTTTTATGTTTATCGACAGCTTCGGTGTTTACAACGGCGGATACAGTTCAGACACGCGGAGAGGAATTACGCGCTGGTGGATCTGGGAATTTCTTCCTTTCCGACCTCTCCGACCTACTCACGGAATCGTCTCGACGCCTCTGGGCAACCGCCGAAGAACCAGTTTGCGGCTTTCCACAGGACAGGTTTCACTCGGTCTAGATAACGAGTTCATTAGTTGAATTCGGAGTTTCCCCGAAATTAATTTGCACCATTTGCCGCGATAAGTATTATAATTAATCATAAGTCTTAATATAATTAATCATACGTCGTCTTAATAAATATCCTCATGATGTGACGTTTGGATGTTGCAATCAAATGTGTCATTTGCCTGACACATTGCAGAAAATTGCACTTTGTGCGAACGTACAAAGTGCAATAAAACGTACAAAGTTGAGCACATAATTTATTATAATTAAAATGTATAATTTACATGATTGATTGCTGTTGATTATAATAATTATCGCGGTACGGAGATGAGAAATGCGAGACTCTTTCTCTTATTATCGATCAGACATCCTTAATTAGAAACCTCGTGCGAACGTCAAGCTTGACATGTGTTTATACCTCTAATAGTTAAAATAAATTGCAGTACTTGCTAAATTGCATTGCGCTCCATGTTGTTACGTACTCGTTATAAGCGGCTCATTTTCGCAGCAGTAGTCGATTATATTCTCCATATCGTCGAGAAATCGACGATTTTCCCTCTGGAGTCTATCGCGTAACTCGCGTGTTGTCGCTGCTCTTCCTACGCAGCAATTTTCAATAATTTATTTATTTATTTATTTATTTTAATAATGAATGAATGAGTGAATAAATGAATGAATTTTAATAATGAATATCAAGCATCGTGTAATCAGCAATTTATATTACTTATATATGCGAAATATTTTTTTTAATTACCACGACGAGGATTCGCTACAGCGTTATCAGCAACCACCATCGGCGGGCGACCGTGAGTAGAATCTTCACAATGTTGCTGGGTGTTCTCACGCGCCGGTTCTTCCTTGACGTCTCTTTTATCATCGACCGCTGGAGCTGGGTTTGAATCTGTTTCCGAACAACAACACGAACATGATCCCGTCACCTGCGGTAAAAATTTCTATTAGAAATGAGTCGGGAAATATTGCATACGTATGACACACGTTGCATAATCTAAGACCGCCGCTCTCCGTCTCGTAACGAGTCACAACGAGTTACAACGTCAGGGACGGCGATTACAGAAATTATTTCCTCGCTGAACGATGACTTCTCTGCGCGCGGTGTCATAAACGTCAGATACGAGTATTTGCAATAATGGATAACGCACAGCAGCCACAGGAGTAACAATTAATATTCATATACTCATTGATATATTCGCACAAGATCTTTTGCAACACAATCTTCGTGATCTCCGGTGAGTTCCTCTTGTCGCGAGTCGGTATCATCTTTCACTTCATCCGCTATCATGTTGCATCCCGCGATTCTCGTCCTCGAGGAAGCATCCTGCAGAATTGATGAATTGCCACTCGCGCGTTCCTCGTCGATCATCGTCACCCGCCGCATCGGGCTCTCCCTGCAAATGTCAATATCGCTTGCTTCTCGTGAAATTTGCGCAAATTGTGTAAAGTTAATCGCGTCTTTAAATCGCGTTGTTTAACTCGATCTCAATCGGACCCGGCAACAAAATGTGTTTGCACAAGTCTCGAGATCTTGTCGAGACGCACGTACAAAGCTGGCTGTATCAATGCACAGAATCTGGACGACACGTCCTTGATGTCTGCGTCTTGATGATGACGACGCTGGTGGTGATGCTGCTGATTATCGTGTCGTTGATATTTCTCTTTGGCGTTGCGACTCGCACGAGACTGCCTCCTCTCTCGCGTTCTACAAAAATGGTGTGTTTATCAGAACTCGAAGAAACGTCAATTCTCCCTCGGTCAATTCTTGCTCGTATCCAATCCGTCCGTATGGTGAAGCTACATTCTTTCGGTGTGGATGCACCTTGTTCTTGCGTGCGAGATATCAGCCGATTTTATGAGCGCAAGATGAAAATATGCCGGGTATGTCTGTACGCGACAATATAACTGACCTCCGCGGTGCGTCATCATCGGCGTCAATATCCATTCTATTCGCGTGCCTTTTTCCACGACACTTGGAATCGTTCACGCTTGCTTTTCGATACAGTTCTTGAATTGACTGCGCCTCAAGTTGGTCGTCTCGCTCGTTGGTTTTTGCTTCATCGAGCTCGTGTGCATTGTCGCTCATGTCGAGGACGGACTTTAATCCGCTTGCGACGAGATCAATCGAAGCGTAACACACTCTGCGAGCAACTAAGCAAACATTTACCCGTTTGTAATTATCATGTGCCGCATATACGTAATTTATACTTGACAGTTATAAATATACAAGTTTCCATATAGTATGACACGCACGTGTCCGACGTATCTACATTTTGTCTACCTTCTATGAACTTCTTAGCCAAAATAATCTCCATAAGTGCGAAATAACATGAAATATTAGAGCATTGTGTGTCAACTAGAAATTTAGACTTGAAGAACGTCGAGTATATTCTTATCTGACCAACGTCAGGTATTTTCTCCGAGTTCAGCAGATCCCCGACGTGATGCCTCGTGACACAAGTATACACGCGTCCGATTGAAAGCTTACAAATTGCAAATGGGCGTTTGGAAAATTAGCCAGTCGCGAGCTAATGCGATTGGAAAATATTCTCACGATCGCAGAAGCAGCGGAATTCCGAAAGGTAATCAAAAATTGGCACGGATGAAGAACGACAAAAAGGCGTTAATGATAACTTTCTCTCTTTTTCGCTCTCCTTCTTTCCCCTTTCACTCGATACTTTTTTTTACTTTTTCGCTACTCACGTGAACGTGACTCGGGCACATAATACAAAACGACGCCACACAACATTAACGCAATTAACGAGAGACGCTTCAGGTAGGCGATCCATTCGAGTACACAGAATGTCTCGCCCAAATAACCTGTGACGAGCGAAGAAGGAAGTTATTTCGGCGACGAGAGGACACCGCTTTCTCTTACCGTATCCGGCGTTCCGCAATTTGAAATACGCGTATTGCGCAGCGAGCACGACGACGAGGACTGCAGATTTCATGATCATCAGAGTAGGTGCAACGAGGTAGGTATCTACGTGTTACTTTTCATCTTTCGATCGTCAATCACGATATGCCGGAGAAGCAGAAAAGGGAAGAGAATTGCGTGACATGCGCGTGCCGTAAAGGCAGCGCCCGCCGTAAGGAAGAGAGGCAATTTCACTTCGCTTCTCGCTCGTCTCCAATCTAATTGCGACTTAATTACGCCTGATAATCGCGACGGTTGATATACGCCACGCGATTACGCCGCTAATTGCGCATGAGCGCGCGCTTATTTATACGTAATTTTCGCGTACTTGGATCGCGTTTGACGTATTGACACGCCGAGAAGTGAGCCGTGTAAGATCCATATCTTAATTTTTTTATTATGCTCTGAGTACTTTACAATATAATACAAAGGAAACGTGTCATTTTTTACTACCGCTTTTACTACGACCTAAACGGGGTGGATTTTGCGCGCGCGTACACGAGATGGTGTTTCCGCACGAGTCTCGATAGCGATAGGGATAGCGCAGCGTGCGCGAAGCGTGAGGACTCGCACTACTCGCTAAACAGTGCTTCTCTAAAACAACGTCGCTCCTCCCGTAACTGCTCCCGGAAACTGCTCGGGAACTATAAATTTTCAAAGAGCTCGACCGGAGGAGAGATACGGCGCCTAGATGCGGGCTACCTAAGTAAGAACACAAATCAAAGAGATATCCTTTACGGAATACTGTTTACTTCTATACACGCCTAAATTCTAAGTGCGACGAGCCGACGAAAACACTCGTTATGATCGCCTGTCCTCGTCGGCTGGCCTAGCCGGGAGACTACCCGACTCCGTCACATGTCACAACATGTCGATTCACTTGCAACGAGAGAGAAATACTGTGTGCTCACGTGTGTGTTTGTGAGCAACGAGTTCTGTCGATCGATGTGAGCAACGAGAGGTCGATCCCGCGAGTTCTACGAAGAGTTCAACTACGGTAACTCTTGGCGATAATCATCTCGCGATATAGATTTGCTACACGTGAACGGTACTACGTAACATCAGGGGCAGGTGCCAGTGCGTCTGCTGGATTAAGCGAGAATTTATACGTGTGTAATATGCTAATTATAATAATACGATATTATATGTCGAATAGAACAAAATAATGATAATAATACAATTAATAATAATAGTAACGTGAAAATCTCGTACGCGTGCACGCGTGCGGTAAGTCGGCAAGAATAAAAAAGAAAAGAAATGAAAGAAAAAAGAAAACGGTGCCAGTACGTTATCTTGTTGCAAAGATAATTTGCAATCCCGTTCCGTTTAGCCTTACTCGCTCGATATCTCGCGAAAATGTTCGCTCGAGAACAAACATCGGGCAATCGTCAATTGCTTCATTCGTGGATGTTTTAATTATACATCCGAAACGAGCGATAATCTCGGCATGTCGGAAACTATTGCGGATACGACGACACATGTGCACGCGTACAATATGAATGAACGACTTTATACACAGGGACGAGTTGATGCGCGCGACGAAGATGACGATGAGATGATGTGCTCCACCGAACCCAAAAGCCGAAGCTCTTCGAAACGCAGCTTAAACCAGCCATGAGACTGATATCTCCCGCGATTGTCGGTTGGTTGTGATTGTTTTCAAGTTATCGATAAAGAGAGGAGAAGCGCTTTCGAAATATGCCATTAATTAGAGGCACTGATCTACTGTGATTACTTCCAGAAGGAACGTGTTTCATAATTGTCAATTGCCCGTCTGGCAATCAAGCTCGCAAAAGTTATTGTCATCGAACAGCTTGAAGAAGATCGTTTGATCTAAACCGGTCGACAGCACGATCGGTTTCGGGGGTCGGTGGTTCGCGAAAGGAATAACCGTATCGGTACAACGAAGACGCGGGAGCTCTCGTTTTTACGCAAAGGATGCCTTGATTTTGTTGATGGCGTTCGTGAGGTGGGTCATCTCGGTGTTGAGCTGGGCTATCAAACCGTCGAGCCTGTCGACGCTGTCGAGGACCTCGACGCGCTGCGTATGCGGATTAAATCTGACCTCGAATGGTCGGCTCATGGTGGCGACCTGCGGAAGAAACCAAAAATCGTTCACATTTAGACACAGATTCTTCGCCGAGGTGAGGAGGAGGAGGAGGAGGAGGCAGAGAAGTGATCAACGGAAAAGGAAAGGACTGCCTGTCCGCACTTGCCAATCACTGTATTTGACTTACACCATAGTCGGGAGGAGCCAAAGATATCGCGAATCAAAAGAACGATCGGAGAAGTAAAAAGAATGATCTCTGTAACGGAGACTCGTTCGAAGATGAAGACAAGACATTAGAACTCTTGCTCTTACCCAGCGACGGAACTTCTCCTTGGCGTCCTCGAAGCTCTCGGCCACGTAGTATATCGGCTGGTATTCCTGATCCTGGTACTTCTGGAGAGCGGTGCTCGGAGGATCGAAAGCTCGATGCTCGCACTTGTCGCTCAACGCGTGCAACAGCTCGCCGTAGGCCGACAACAAGCCAGCGCCATAAGCCTTGACCTCAGGACCTTCCTTGCAGAGACCGAACTCAACGGTGAACCAATAGATGGTCGACAGCTTCTCGATTTCCTCGTCTGAGGCGCCGAGAGACGCCAGGCCGATCTCCTGCGAGAACTGAGCGAAGCTGGGGTCGGCCAACAGCGGCATGTGACCCAGGAGCTCGTGGATGCAGTCTCTGCGGATGCAGAAAACGAGGCGCGTTAATGAAGGACAACGTTTAGCGTTGCATCGCGAACCGACGACACCCGCGTCGTTCCCGCATCGTCGATCCCGAACGCGAACATTCATAATCCGGTCGTCAATCGAATTGGCCGTGACAATCGACGCTTGGCTCGCGTCGGCTGCAATATTTCAGTAGCGAGCATAAATCTCCGAATGGGCGGGCCAAAGTAAATTAACGCGTCGTCGGACAAGCGGTGCGAATCGAGTTGCAACTCGAGAAACCGCCTCATTTCTGCAAGCTGGCGCGGGGCTATATCGACAACAGAAATCGCACGCAGCTCGCTGCGCGGAGAAACGAGTTCGCAACTGCGGAACTGAGTTATCAACGCCATCGCGTCGTTAAAAGCCAATTAGAGTTCCATTACGAGCTTAGAGAGGCGCGGTAATTCCATTATCATCGTTCTCTGTGTACCGGGCGCAGGCTCCCGTCATAACGCAATATCGATTGCCTTGCAGTTTGACACGAAGGGACACAGCAGCAGTGACGCAGACCTGAAGGGACCGGAGCGCGCGATTTTTTAGGACGCAGCTTTGTGCTTTCGCCCGACACGACTTTTCTTTTCTCTACGTTGAGACATTAAATCGTCCGGCGAATTTCCGGCCAAGACAGTCCGGGTAAGACTGCAGACGTATGCAGACTTCATCTTTGCTCGTGTTTGAGTAAGCGATAGGAATTTCATTTAGAAGTATTTGCTTGTCCTCGCTGTTCGCGAATGTTGTCCCTATCGGTCGATTCAAAGAGATTCAAAGGATGAAAGACGCACACGTCCAGTTGACAAAGACCATCTGTGTAGCTCCGATTCAGTGAATCGAAAGCAAGCGGTTTGTGATAATTTCAAAGCACTTACGGTTCGGGAGTATGATACGGGCTGTTGATGTGGCGGACGTATTGGGTGCTCTGGAATATCCTGAAGGCAAGGCTAGACAAGAAGTCTCGAGCGGTCAAAAGACCGGCGGCCGGTCGGAGGGTAAAGCCTGTGTTCTTCTTGAGGAAATTGCTGACCTCCTGCAACTGCGGGATACGGTGGGACTCGAAGATCCTCTCCTCCTGCAGCTTCTTGAAGACTCGCTGGTACTCGACGCACGCGTGCTTCGGCACCAGGTCGAGCACGGTGTTGAAGACGCGCGACCAGGTCTCGTTCTCCGTTTCGGTGTAAGGAATGCTCGGTATCGGGTCGCCGTACTTGTAAGCGAAAGCGATCTCGGCGATGACCTTGCGCCGGGCGCGGTATTCCTTATCGGCGAAACCCGGGTGGTTCATGTCGAGATCCGGCTCGTACTTGGTCATCAAGTGATTGCAGTTATCGAGGTCGGAGGCGTGACGCGGGAACCAGGGGTCTTTGATGCTGACGGAGTTGTCGGCGAGCAAGGTCACGCCGTCCAAGGCCGAGCTCTGTCGCAGATTCCTAATCAGCTGCAACAGGCTCTGCCTGCTCATGTCGACCTTGACGAGCACCTCGAACTGCACACCCTCCTTCTTGGAAGGTCGCGACTCCACGTGAGTGACTGTGCCCTTGAAATTCTCGATCGTCTTCAAGATCCTGCCCAAGGAGCCGATGCCCTCTCTCAGCCGCAGCACCAGCGCAGCTTTCTGCACGCTGTGCTCGCTTTCCGGTGACTCGGTTATGGTCTTGGCGAGCACTACCTCCTCCTCGGTTAGCCCGGCGTCTGCGAGAAATCATGCATCGTTTACTACGTGTGAGCACATCGGAGAATCTTCCGAGTGGGATCGAGTTATCGCGCGAATTCAACTATCATCCGATCCGCTTATCAAGCGATATTGACAAAGTTTCTAACGATAAATTACAATACCAACACTGTACTTTACGAGAAATGTTTGAGGAGATGCGCAGCGGGAGAGAGAGAGAGAGAGAGAGAGAGAGAGAGAGAGAGAATAAGAAAGAAACGCATCGGCGGCGAGAAATTTTCCCGGGGAACGATTCCTCTCGGTCGCGCGGCGTCCCAAGTAGCTTCCGCGAGCGGCGGTAATCGGCCAATTCAGAGTCCATTTCCGCGCGGCGCCTTGCCGTGACGTCGGAAACGCGTCTATTCGAGCGCGGGGGCGGCGAAAGAACGGCAAAGTAGCCCTCATTCAGTCACGGGCGCGGACGTGCCGGCGCGGCGCGGCGCGGCGCGGCGGCGAGCGGCGAGATGGAAGGGCATGCGAAAAGGAATAACCGTGTTACACGTTTACTGCGACCACGCCGGCTCGCTGAAGAAAGGCTCTCCTCCGGTAATACGATTCTAAATGCATAAAGCGACTTCGAAGAGTGCCGGCTAGTCGGCGGTAAGAGAGGGCGAAAGAGCTCTCTCCGCAGCCGCGAGTAATTCAGCCCGAGTGTCGAGCGGCCGAGCACTCGCGGCGCGGCTTCGCGTAGACGTCGTCGACAATAGCGAGCGTTTCATCCTCCATTTCGCCGTCCTCTCTCGCCTTGCCCTCTGCCACGCGCCTCGGCAACTCGCGGCTATTTCGCGCGCGCGCGCGCGCGCGCGCGTAAACGACATTTCGCGAGAGATCTCGCGGAAACGACGCGGATACCGCGCGAACGATCGATCGATCGATCGATCGATCGCGCGATCGCGCGATCGAGCGGAGGGGAATGGACACTTGCAAGGTCTACACTTACCGTCATCGTAATCGTCATCCGGTTTCCCGTCGCTGTCCGACCAGGCCTCGGCTTTCGCTTCTGCAAGTCACAGGTAGATTCGTGCTCATGCGACATTTAAAGGAGGAGAAGAGGGAGGCGCCTCTTCCTTTGGACATTTGGACGACGCGGTCGGTGCATCTTTCAAGCGTGTGTCGTTGATATTCCGATGATCGATTTGATCATGAGCCCCGGCTAACGCGAACACTTTTTCTCCCTTGGCGGGGGAGTTAGGTGTTGCGTTCGTAATGGCGATCGACGCGAGCACGTCTCGCGGAATGCATCTCACGCTCCAGTTGTCCAAAGATCGCGATAATTTATACGTGTGTGTACGTGCGACACCGAGAGATACGAACCTTGCTTCTTCGCCGCGCAGACCAGCGACTCCATCTGTTCGTCGTCGCTCGACGAGACATCGTAATTCTCGCTCTGTCCCTGTTCTTCCTGAGCGCAGGTGATTGTCTGGTCGACGTTCGTGTCTGTTCGATAACAGAGAGTTCGTGTCATGCAACGCGACGCATCTTTCGGGAGAGATCTTTCAGAAGAGATCGTAGGTCGTGATGCAAAAATGTTTCTCGCTACTCTCGACAAATTTCATTCCACACTACGATCTAACAAATATATCCTGCGGCAATCGTATATAACGTAATCATGCCGAAGAAATATGCATGCGCAACTCACCATTCGCCCGCTGTCGAGCTTCCTCGAGCACGCTTTGCTTCGTCTGCTTGACGACCAGCGTCTCAAAACGGGCGTCGTCTACGAGAGAACGTCGTCGCGCTGGATACCCATTCTGCGAACGAAAAGAAAAAGTCGCGGTTTATAGAGAAAGCTATGAGTGTGCGTGTGTGAGGAGAATAGAATCGATGGAAGAGTGCTTGTTATCTCCCATAGAAGAGACAAACATGCGCGCGAACGGAGTTCTGTGAAAATAATTCGTGATTTTTGCGCAATTAAGTCAGAAGGTCTCGTCGGTATATCGTCTTGTCGCAAGTCGTTCACGTATTTAACGTAACAACCGTTTGCGGACAGAATTGAGAGATTCTCAAGTTGGAACTTTAAAGGGCGGATGTCCTGCCGCCTGGTCCTGGCTAGCCGGATTCCGCGCTCCGTCCATGGCTACCTTTGACGTGAAACGGAACGGAGGCTTGGCGCTCGAGCTCGAGCGAGCGTCGCCGCCCAAGTCGGATATAACGAGGGGAGAAGAGACGCGGAAATGAATTTTCGCGACATCCGTCCTGCTGTCGTTGAAGGATCGGAAATGAATTAATTCCGGCGAGGGGCGGACAGGCACAAAGGTGTTCGACTGCCTCTCTCAAACTGCCCCTCCCCCCCCCCTCCCCCCGCGGACGGAGAATCTCATTTTTCTTCTCATTGTCCAATTGATATTTCCCGCGCGTCGCTTCTCTCGCGATCTAATTAAAGGAACTCTCAGCTGCTGGTGCCGCGTCGATCGAGCAAAGCGGACCAGATGAACTTTTCACTTCGGCGAGATTGGAGGTTGCATTCGCGCGCGCGCGCGCGCGCGCGAGGGACGTCGGTGGAATACGAATGAAAGGCGAATGAAAGAAAGACGGGGACGAAGATGACTTGGTTGGTCATTCTTGGCGGACTGGCGCGGGCGCCGGCGATCATTCAAATTCCTGGCTGTCGCGTAGCCAGCTCGCGACCCAGTCAGGGGCCCAGTTGCGTTGGCCGGCCGATTGGCACGGTTTAGAGGAGACGTTTAGCAATATCCCTTTAACAACACGCAGCGTGAAGTGGGCCAAGTACTTCGCCGGTGCAACGGCCGAGCGACGACTGAGAGTGTGAGTGTCGCGCGAGACGCGTATTGCGAGACAGTGATAACGCACAGACGGAGGAGCGCGCGCACAGGCAGGGAAGAAGCGTGACAAATCTCGTTTCGATGGATCGATAAAAAGCGGAGATATTAATTAATTCCGTCGTAAAAGCGCGCAAATGACAAGCGTCGAAATGTACGCAATGACGAATGTACGCAAATATATCTGTCGGCCGGCCGGCCGGCAAAGCGCGAGACAAGCGCTGCGATGCGAGCGACGTGCACGCGGGGCTAAAGAGTGGAAACCCGGCGCGACGATAACTCGACGCAAATAAACGACGCGAATGTCCAATCGAGCAAACGGCAGGTACCATAGGAATGTTGTTTCCGACCTTGTGGAATCGCACGAGCATACGGCCGAAGATACAGAAGAAACGACCTCGAGTCAGCAGGCCGAGTAATTACACGGCTACACGGCGAAGGAGTCGAAGACGAACAGGATCTCTCTCTCTCTCTCTCTCTCTCTCTCTCTCTCTCTCTCTCTCTCTCTCTACTTCTGCCACCTTCCCCCCTCTCGATCGCGACGATTTTGCCCCGGATACTCATTCGCGTTGTTATCGTTTTTCCTCGCCGCCTGATCAATCCTTTCGCTATCTCTCGACGAGAAGATTGGGCAAAAAATCACACACGTCGCGGTGGACGCGGCAGCGTGCCAGGCAAAAAGAACGAAGCTACGCCGCTTCATTATAATATAAGAGATAATTAGATCATCGGCTGTCGATCGATCGGCCGATCGATCCGGATTCCGTCGAAAATTCTAGTTTGTCCCGTTTATCTGCGCGGTGGGCGCGAGCGTTTCTCTAATACGTTCTTAACGGAGCAGGAGTCAAGCAATTACGATGCTAATGCGAGGTAATGTCCCGCGAATAACGTGTCCAAGGCCGATCATTAGTCTGCTATTAAAATTACGCCCGCATAACTCGCATAGTTCGCCGCCGCTCGAGATCGAGCGGATCTGGCTACCGATTGATCTGTTTCGCGATAATGCCGATCGAATTGACCAGCCTCCCGTAATTAAAACGCGCGCGCTTTAGTATCCATTAAGACCAAGACAGTGGGCCGCGGCGCGACGTGTAACGCGTCGAGTGCGAATGCAAAGCGCGAGCTCTCGAGCTCTCGAGTGCCGCCACTCGCGCCACGAATCCTCGTCGTCCTGAAAGCTCTCGCACGCGCGCGCGCAGATACTCATTGTTTCCCTCAGCGTGTCAAGAACTGGACGCAACGTTTCTCGAAATTACACGCGCCGTGAAGACCCGTGTAAAAAAACGCGACCAGGACGAAAGAGAGGCAGGGCGGGGCAGGGAGGGGGGAGGGGAATTGCAACAATCGCGGCGATTTTCTCGGATGGTGCGTGACGCAAAAACGCGCGAGCACGGGTCGAGTGGAAAAGCACGTGCCCCGCACGGCGGGGGCCCCCGTAGTGCGAGTGAGAAGTCCGCGAATGGTGTCTCGCGGTGTGCGTTACACACGTGGACACCTGGATGCACGCGCGCGAGTCGCATGCGACGAAGGAGAGCCGCGAGTGCGGCAACGAGTGCGTGAGTGCAGCGAGCCTCCGAAGGCGAATAACGGGCGCAGCGCGTTCAGGGCCTCCTTCGCTTCGCGTCTCTCTCTCTCTCTGTCTCTCTCTCTCTCTCTCTCTCTGTCTCTCTCTCTCTCTCTCTCTCTGTCTCTCTCTCTCTCTCTCTCTGTCTGTCTGTCTTTTTCTCTGCCGGTCGCTCAATATACAATCACTCCGCTCTCATATATATATATATATATATGTATATATATATATATTTATAACATATTCATAATTATCACGAGCGCGCGAGAGAGAACCGAGGTCGGAGATTGATTTTGCAACAGCGACGACATAATCCTGTCCGACACCACCGCGGACTGCCGGTTGATCGACAGACAGCTGCAGCGGCAGCAGCAGCAGTAAGAGCCTCGATACCGAGAGGGTTCTATCAGATCTCGTTACAGAATCGCGGAATATAGCCGCGGTAATTCTATCAATTCGCTTCGTACGAGCTGCTAGTGTTACTCTATAAGCGGAGTTTAAGCAAGCGCCAGGCGTGTGCAGGACGAACGCTTCTAGGGCAAGGTGATTGGCTTACACCTCGAGGAAAGCGACTCGTAATCGCGTGCGCGATGATCGACCGTAGTATCAAAGTCCGAATGGAAAAGTCAGAGTCTCTCTCTCTCTCTCTCTCTCTCTCTCTCTCTCTCTCTCTCTCTCTCCCGGGAGAGAGCGACGCGCCGCCGATCTGCCGATCGGCAAAGGCGGGCGGAGGCTTGGGCTGATTTCATTCCAGGATCAATTTTCATCGGCCAGGGCTGAAAGAATCGCAGAATCACCGGCCGCGGCGACAGCCGCGTGGGCTTGTATACGCAGGCTAAAAATCTCGGTCGCCTTATCGCGCGCGCGCGCGCTCAAAGAGAGCGAATGGCCGAAAAGACCGCCGCGCGAAATAGTATCCGCATCGGCGAGACGCAATCGTAGGAAATCTACTCAAGGTCGGTTCGTTTTTCACCCCACTGGTTAGGCTCGCTCATACTCGCGCGCGATCATGAGCGATTCTGGATCTAGATCCGGTGCGCGCGCGTGCGCGCGCGAGTTCCGTTCAAATGAGTCAGACCCGTCGCGGTTGTTAAATGAACAAAAGTCTCAGTTGGAGTGGACGGACGCTCGACTCGAAGCGACGAGGTGCGCGATCACTCGAAATCGCGGCGACTGAAATTTGTGCGACGACGGGCGATCGCGATCGCGCGAGAGGAGATCCGGACGAGCCTCGTCGCCCGGAATTGAAATCGCCGGCTCGCTGAAATCGGCTTCTCGCCGTGTCCGGCGAGTCAGCCAGTGAGGAAAGTGAGAAGATCAACACACGACGGCCGACGCGATTGTTTAAACAGACGTTGACGTTTCGCGATACGAAGACGCGATAGGTAACGACATGTATCATCCTCCGTTTTCCCTTCCCCCTCCTGTCGAGAACTAGACCCGCGACGAAGATTTCGTAAATTCACACGGGTCTTCCCGCTAATGAAATTATACGGAGAAAGCGTCAGACCGACACATGTAAGCACGTCGCGATGATGTATCTTTCTACTTGTAGAAACCCGACGAATCATCTGCGACGAGTGTCACAGAATGTCACAGAAAGCCCGGCAGCCATCCTGATGCATGCGATCGTAGAGGGAGGGGGGAGGGGGAATCGAAGCCGAAATTTGTTTACGCGTTAGTCTCAACGTTACGTCACACGGCAATGTTACGTTCCTAAATCATTCGCGCTCAATGCGCACTACGTAGCGCTGAATTATGCATGAATGGAAATGTAACGTTCCGGCGAACTTTTCGCGACCAGCGTTTGAACTCGCGAACACTGGCGGGGTCCGTGTAAGCGAGCCGATCGGAATTGCGATTGTTCGAATCGCGAGCCAACGGAAAACGCACCGATGGAGAATTACGATTCGCGATTCTTAGCGCGTGCGTTCGTCTCAACGAGACAAACGCACGCGTTGATGCGCGGGAGACATCGATCTTGCGATTACTTGCGAGTCTTGGGTGATCGCGAAACTTTGTGCCCGTCGGATTATACGGATGCGTGTGCATCTTGGCGAGAAAGAGCGAAAGACCTCGTATTACAAAAGCGACGATTACGAGTTGAAGCGCGTATTCAGCGGCGAGCAGAAACGGTATCGGCCTTGCGATCGTGACGATTAGGCGATTCGCAGCAAACGTCAAACACGCGATCGTCAAAGGAGAACGGAACGCGACAACCTCGAAAAAGTATCGATTAAAATGCATTATCGTGCGTTTCCGAGGCGGGTGTCGCCTTGTACGTGTGCGGACGTGAGGGGGGAGGGAGAAAGAGGACATAATCCACGCGCTGTGATTAACGGGATGCACGGGATTTATAGGTACGTTATTAAAAATTATTCTTGTTGTCGTTACGTACACGAGAATACGCTTGCATACGGCATAACCGATAATTACCGGTACCGCTGTTTGTTTCCATCTGTGGCGAGAGAGCGTCGTTAAGTCGGCGATTGTCGGCAGGATTTCTGCGAATATCGCTGCGGAACAGCCCGCAGATGCGATCTCACGATCCTGCAAAAGGGCGGACGCAGGCGAGAGAACGAGAGGAGATGCACCAGGTGCGAGCTTGTCTGGTCTCTTGAAACGCGTGCAAGTCGTGCTTTGCGCAACGCTCGGCGAGAGAGAAAAAAGCGCGCTATTTGACGCTTTCGACGAGTTTCAAATGACAGGAAAGTAAACTTGCGAGTCCGAGGAGTCACCACCGGTTTCTCCCGTCTCCGCCGCGCCGCGGCTTCCTCCGCGGCGTCGAAAACAGCCAGCCTGTCGGCGACTACTTCCTCGCCGTAATCTCGCTGGACGAACGCCGCGTGCCGTCACGACGCGCGGCCGATTGCATTTTTCGCGCTCGCTACAAGTGCATAAACTCTTGCGTCAGCCGTTCTGCCTGATTTTCGAACTCATGCAAATTTATGCGCGAGAGGCTGGTCATTGCTCGGAATTCGCCGCGAGACACTGCTGCCGCGGCGCGGCGCGGCTGATCGCTTCTCCGCGTCTCTCTTTTCGTCGTGCCACTTTGCGTGCGATTCTCTTATCGCCACGCGATACCGTTATGCGCCGGCTTCTCCGAAGCGAGCGGGACAATTAAAAGATGCCATGACGTTAAACGATTGAAATCACGGACATAACGAACGTAACGAGAAATGCAGGAGTTGAATCGTCGGAACGTCGGACGATCGCGTAAATAAAGCCGACGCGGCCGCGTGTCATTAATATCGTTCGCGTCCCGATGCGATAATTTAGTGTTTATACTTTCTCTGCGTATGAACTTTTCTCCGTTTCGATGGGCTTACGTGAGAATTTCACTCGCTGGTAGGCCGCCGGTTATTAAAAGACGCCGAGAAAGAGCGAAGCCGACCGACGCGCTAAGTGATTTCCTGACGCAATTTTTTCCGCTCGTGTCGAAATTCAATGTGTGTCCGTCGGAAACAGAAAACGAGAAAGAGAGAGAGAGAGAGAGAGAGAGAGAGAGAGGAAGAATGAAAAATCCGAAATATTCGACTGTCCCAGAGCCAGTGCCGTCTACGCGAGGAAATCTTGTAATTAAGTTCGAACGCGCACGATAGCGATATACTATTTCATCGACAGACACTCACTTTTCGATAACGAATGCAAGCCGCATATAATATTTCACGGTGAAATAATATATGATACCGTTGAACGGAACAAGTTCAAGTCGCGAAAATATGCGGCCCGTTTGTCGAAGCGTGCCCGTTTCGTGATATTGAGGGGCTCGTGCTTGGCGTCAGAGAGACGCTTGTGCACGCACGCAGTTGCAGTGATTTAAACGAGCGGCTCGATTCCCGCGCTCGCCAAGTTCGTCTTCTCGAACCTGTTGCTCACGTACGAGAACGCAATCGCGACGACATCGTGCGACATCGTAACGCGAGTGCAGTATAAATCTGCCAAAGTGTGCAAGTACATTAGAAACTTGGTTGAGATCGGATGCATCGGATGAATCGGCGGAGGCACAATACGTGTGATAAGGATGAAATATATATATATATATATATATATGTGTATATATAATAGTATACTTTGATAGAACTGTGTGTGTGAAAACAAAAGTCAGATCAATCTGGCCCGAATGATTGATATGGAAAGATCTAGTAAATTTCCCTACACTCTCGCGCTGTACGATCGACGACGTTCTTTTCGTGTACTTGTTACAACATAACATCGTAGAGATGTTATGTCCTACTTTTGCAAATCTTTCTCCTCGCAGTTTGCGACTAGTTTCTGTCTGCCAAGTAAGACAACGAGACTTACCTCGATACTGTAGGACTTCTTGATGGCGAACATCTCGCGGTTCTTCTGAGCGGCTGCGACTGCCATCATGTCTCTCTTATCACTCTTCTTGCCTGACAGACTACTTTTCTGATAGCGATCAATCTCGGCGGTTTCTCGGCTCGACGCTCGGTCGACTCTCAATCGTCTCTCAATCGTCGTTCGGCGTGACAGCGCTCACTCGATGCGTGATGCAGGTGCGAAAGGTGCGGGGCGCGTGAGAGCTCTTCACTGCCGCTTGCCAGAAATTACACCAACGAATTCCCCGTTGAGAGATCTTGACGTGTCCTCTTCGCTCCAACTGTTCTCGCCGCGCGCTTTCCGTACTTCTTTTCCCTCTTCTTATTTTAATATCCCGCTGATGTGTCCTTCTCGGCCTCGATCCGTCCGGCTGCTACGGTTCGACTACAACAAACGACAAGGACGACGGCAACGGCGGCGACAAGTCTCTACTACTCAAGTCCGCTTTGGACGAAGCGTACGAGCGAATGCGTCTACGGGGCGGATTGCTGCCGCATATAAACGTTGCCTCCCTTCACCGCCTGCTAATGTCGGGGGTGCCCCCACCCTGTCGTCGTTTCGGGTGGTCCACCGGCGGCAGTCGTCACCACCACCACCACCACCACCACCACCACCACCACCTCCAGCGCCGCCACCGCCACCACCGCCGTCGCCGACGTCGCTGCTGCTGCTGCTGCTGCCGCTGCTGCCACCGCCGCCGCTGCTGACATTGACGAAGATTGCGAAGAGCACAAGGTGTGTTCCGCCGATCATGATTTTTGACACTTTTGTTAATCGGTCGAAACATCCATGCGAGACACCAAGGCTCTCATTCGGCAGCATGGCTAGGCAGAGAGCGTCCTGAATCATTCTGTCTCAAAAGAGACCGTTCGAAATCTAGCATGATGAGTAGGCAATAAGCGTCGTCCTTCGGCCAGGTTGATCGATCCTTTTGCATTCGCGAGAAAACTTCTGTATTAGGACCACGAGCCGTTGCCTTGATCGTCGAGATCAAGCGTGACGACGACGACAATCGACGAGCGACGACGAGTTAACGAGTAATATGATAAAATAAATATGTGACGCGCGCAGTGTGTGACAGCAGTGTGATACGACGAAGCATAATTCTCCTTGATGTTACGTCGGTAGGATGATGTCGGTGAATGTCACTTATGTCAGACATGAGACAACGTCTATCGACGCCGGTGTATCGAGAACGCGCGCGGTGTATCTGTCACCGCGCGGGACGTGGATATTTTTTTGAGTAAATGCCGAACACAATCTGTCAAATTCAGCCGTATTTACAGTCGGAGCGTGGAATGCGAAGTTGAACTCAACTCGGCGATTGGCAATGTCTCGGTCGTTTCAGAAGATAGCACGTACGCAGCGGGAAATATCAAACAGCATAATCGGTTGATACGAGAGCAATTTTTGAATTCGCACGTGGCACTTGCGAAAGATCACGACGCACAACTTGCGGCTGTAAATTATCGTGTGGTCATCAAGGTTGTCGATTCTCTCTCAGCGAAGCGGGCACATTTAGACGGCAAGCGGAATAGAACGCAGATCGCACGCGTGTACTCTGTAAGCGCGACATCGTGAGAGGGAGGCAGAGGGGGAACATAAAATATAAAAGGAACAAAATAAATGTTAAGCAAACGTTTAAGCGCCTATCAAGCGACGGACGATAACGATTGCGCCGGGGAACGGCGCCAAGCCGGTCACATGCGAGTCGCAAGCAGCGATTTTACTGGTTTATCTCTTCCGCGTCGGGACTCGCGTTCTTATTCGACGTATGCAGCGCGAAAATTGCATAATGCCGGCACGAGGATAAACCGAACGGCAGATTTAGAATTAGCGGCTTATCCCTGTCTCCATCGCCTGTCTCGTCGAAGAAAGACAACAACGACGACGACGACGACGACGAAGAAGAAGCGACTCCCGCCCGGCTGGGAGAGCCCAGCTCTTCCTTGGATTTTCCTCTGGATTTACGTGGAAGCGGCAACGTCGTCGCGAAGGTTAAATGGCGATTCGTGGCAGCGATGTCATCGAAACCCGCTTTCGGCGTGACGTATTCGCTCGATTCCTCGGCACCGATTCGCCGTCCACGATCGTCACCTCTCTGTGCGTCAACAGGCCGCGTGTAAACGCACGAAGGCACGCACGAACGAACGTAAGCGCGCGCGCGCACGCACGCAGGAGGCGAGCGGTTGCGCGTGTAACGAGCGACCGGTCGGCGAAAGATCTTCCGAGAGAGAAAATGTCGCGCGCGTGCAATCGCTTTTTACGGCTTTCTAAAGGCACGCGGGGTCTGCGAAAACGGCACGGCGCGTCCGCGCCGACAATAATAGCGCACATGGCGATGGGCTCGCGATGTGAGAACGATGACGATGAATATTCAACAGCGACGGCACGTCCTTAAGAACCTGCTCCTTTTGATCTACATAATGACGCGACGTGTGTGCGCGAGCACATACGGAAATAGAAAAATGTTAAATCCGCGTTAAAAACGCGCGTGCATACGCGCGTTGCGTAACTGGAAACTGGATAGATATCCAGAGAGACTTTGGAAATTCGATTGTCCTTGACCGGCGCGATCGCGCGAGATCACTTAGATACGCGCTCTTAGATGGAGGAATTCCTAGAAAAGCCTCTGTCGAGACTCGAAGTAAAGATCAATCAAGAGGGAAAACGCGCAACTTTGTTATTTAAATTAATGCGCGGGAAGCTGTGAGCGGACGCTGAGCGCGCGCGCGCGCGCGCAAAAATGTGAGTGCGTTTTGTTCCTGACGTAAATAGTCGCGCGGCCGATTCGAAACGGTAGACAAGCGATGACCGTGAAGATTAGCCGCCGAGATATTCGGCGGCTCCGTGTAAAAGTCTCTCGTCAAGGCGGAAGAGACGGACCACAACATTTCGTGGGACTGGTCCTCGCCAGGCATATGCCAGTTTGGCATTCGACGTCCTTCGGTGGCACCGAAAACGAGACTCTCCCGAAGAAGGAAAGAAGCGGCCTGAGCGAGTTTTGCGATTATCCGTTTAGACCGTTTAGACGAAAAAAGTAGCGATTCGATTTCGGTCTCTCCGAGGAATTCTCCGCGGAAAGGAAATCAAAAGTCACAAGTGGAAGAAAATGAGAGATAAAGAAAGCGATAGCTGCGCGGAATAACAAGGCGGTTATTTAGATTAGATCAGAGCGAGGGAAAGAACCTTCTTGTTAATGAAGTTTCCTAATGACCGTCCGTTGGCTTTCAAACAATGCTCGATCGGCGCGTTGAGAATATTTCCCTCCGACGTCATTCCCGCGCCGCGGCCAACGTCACGAGGCGCGCCGGAGGCACGAATAAGTCGGGAACTCCCAAGTGGCCGAGCTGAATTCCGCCGATCTCCTTAGCGACCAATCCGGTTCTGAACGGTGGATTCCCGGCCCGGGAGTTTCCACGAGTAATCCCGCGCTGTCTTTGCCGACGAGCAAAAGAACCGTTTGAATTTGCTCGGTCGTCGTGCCGTGGTGAATCATATCGCGATACGCGATGCAGCGCGATGCAGTTCGCGCTTGACCGCGTTAATCACCTTTGCCCCGCGTCGTTAATTTTTGCCCAACCAAGGCAAACATATCGCAAGCTTGGTACAATTGACAACCTGAGTGTCCGTAGAAACGCGAATTGTAACAAATGTGATAATACACACGACTCTGCGTAAATAAATACATTGATATATATATATATATATATTTGTATTGTTCTTTTCCGGGCTGTTCTGTTTTTAAACGGCGAAAATGTAAGTGAAATTGAATCAATACAATCAATGCAGAAGTGAAAGAAAATTGCAGGTAATTCGTCCATTCGCATTTTCCACTCCATAACATTTAAACAGAAAAATCCTGACGAAGAAAGAAAGAAGAAAGAAGAAAGCTTCCAGGAGAGCACGATAAACTAGAAAATTCCAACGATATTCGCGCGCAAGCTTAATTCATCGACGTGAGTTTGATAGTCCCGTAAATTCTAATGTGACGTTCTACGAATAGTCTAACAATCTCCTAATCGTTCCCCGACATTATAAAATGCGTGGTGTGGTTTACACCATAATATTCTTTTCTTTTATCATTCTGTTGCCTTTGGTGCGTGTGTGTGTGTTGCACACACGTCTCGGGATTTATTCCCCTCGAGTTAACATTAATCAGTAGTGTCTGCGACGTAACGCCTTACGTTATTCATTAATTGATAACCGATATCCACGCCACATTGCCTAGTGACCCTTGACAACCAGAAGGTTGATTCGCGCTTATGTTTACCGTCGTATCTCCAATTACTCGCGTCCTCTCGCGGGATAATCACACTATGAAGCGCTCGTGAAGATCATGAAGCGATAGAAAAGTCGAAGGAAATTAATGAAGTACGAAACAAAGAAAGCCAGGATGTGAGCGTATGGCGCGTCTCGGTTATGTATTCTGAAAATTTCCTCCGTCCAAAATCCCGTACGCTAAACTTTCTCACTTGATGATTTCGCACTTGATGAGTTCTGCACTTTCTCGATCGGTAGCCAATCTCGCGCGCTCGACCACGATCGGCCGGGTAACTCTCGGTAACACCGGGCGCAGGTGAGTCATTAAATAATCTTTAAGCGGTGAGTTAAATTATTGTCACGCTAAGGAAACTCTAAGGACAAAAGAATCGAGTGTCTCCAGAATTACGTTTCGCGCCGTAAGATCCTTGCGACGAAGGTCACTCGATCGTTGCCGACCCTATGGAACAGCGCGATTCGCTGCCAGTGGCGCGTCGACTATTTTCGGCGGCGCGTCAATGCGCGAGCTGCGCACCTCAATACGTCTCATTGAATTCGGTTACGACAAATAAAATAAACAAATGCATCACGCGTTGTTTCCGCTGTGTTCCGGACTGTGCGACGCCGGAAACGCCTTAAAAGGCCTTAAGGAACGCGGATGAAAAAGGTAGAGAGAGGTAATTGCTAATTTCAACGAGAGAGAAACGAGAGTAATCGCTGCGAATGAGGACCGAGTTGTTGAAAGCGCGGAAATCATTTCCATCCATCTCCGCGCAGTCGAATGAACTGGAAACACCGGCGTAACTATTATAGTCTAGATGATCGGAGCGACTATAGGATTTCAGGTCGATTCGGACGAATTGTTCGCGACGCGACACACAGATGCGATGTAACACACACGGCGCGTTTGTATGTAAGGCCGTGTAGCACGCGGTAGACTGCGGCCGTTATACCAAACGCAAGAGGCGATCTTACTTTCATGTATCAAGGCCGCTCCGCATATCCGGAGACGGTCTGGCACTTGTTCTACGTCAGGCCGACTACGTGGCTTAGATCGAGACCGTAGTAATCAGGCACTTCGTCCAGGTTAGTCGAGCTGATAAGTCGAGCAAATTGGCGCGCAAAAGGATGCTGGAAAGACAGCCGGTACTTTCGCAAAAGCAGACAATGATCGGAGGTCATCCTGTGCCCAATGACGTCCACTCGTAAACTCTTAATTGCCAAACACGTCAACAAA